TTCCGCGAGTCTTCTGTTGTGATTCTCTAAACTGGATCCATATATAACAATGTCGTCGAGATAAACGAAACATCGGAGCCCTTGTATCCCGATTAGCACCGAGTTCATGAGTCGTTGGAAAGTCGCAGGTGCGTTTTTAAGTCTAAACGGCATTATGAAACTTGTAGTGTCCGTAGAGAGAAAGCTGTTTTATTTTTGTTGCGCTCGGCCATTGGTATCTGGTGATATTCGGATGCGAGATCGAGCGTTGTAAAATACTTCGCGTTTCTTAGCTGATCAAAAATATCGGTAATATTTGGCAGTGGAAATAAATCGCCTATAGTTAATTCATTTAACTTCCGGAAATCGACTACTACTCTTAATCGCAATTTGCCTAATGCGTCGGCCTTTTTTGGCACTACTAATAACGGTGCATTCCACTGGCTAATGCTTGTACTAATAATTCCATCTTTTAGCATTTCCTGTACTTGCTTATTCACTTCTACTTTGTGTTTCTCGGGACGGCGATACGGTCTCACATTAAGGGGTAAGATATCCGCGCGCGTGATTATCTCGTGTTTTAGTGTTGCTGTGCATGACAGTGGTTCTCCGCTTAAATAAAACACGTCACTATATTTTTCGCATATTTCCTGTATCGCTTTCCTTTCTTTCTTATTTAAGTGTTCTGTGTAACAATTGTCAAATTTGTTCGTCATGCGTTAACGGATTCGGAGTCTCGTCTGTATGTATCGTGTATAATTCGTGCGCGTTATCTTCGTAGACGTCTTCTATGATTACGAGGAGTGTGTAGATCTAGACCGGCTTATCAGTTGTATTAATTACGCTGATGGGACATTGATAGTCCTTCGGTTCTACTAAACATCGTCCGATATAGATTCCTGGGGCAGTTCCTTTGGCTCGAATAATCCCTGTCTTATTATGATTTGTTATCGCTTGTATAATTGTTTCACTACGCGGCCTTAAGATAATTTTGTTATACGGTTGCAATTTTAGAACGGCGTTTCCGATTTGTAATTCGCGTTTTTTGTAATCGCACGTGACTTGCTGCTTCTGAAGAAAATCGATTTCTATGATCCCGTCGTATTCCATCGGGAAATCATCCTTCACGGCGTAAATCGCGTGTTTTATTTTGTTCTCGTTTAGCTCAATGGTAGCATAACATTTTTCCGATCGTCTTTGCTTTGTGACCGGTTATTCCAACGAGGGTTATTTTATCATTGTAGATTTTGGTCGCGCCTTTTAAATGTTTCACTTTTATTAATGAAATCGTGGCTCCTGAATTGTATAGCACATTCACTTTTCCGTATTTCGCCTTTCGCATGGACAGAGTAATTATATTTAAACTCGCTCTCTCTCTTTCGGCGTTCGGCGCACGTGTGTCACCTGATATTCGAGCGCGCAAATCTTCTTAATCTTATCTCCGCGCTCTCCGTCTTCATCGCTGCTACGCTCGGGATTGGAAATTCTGTCCTGCCGGATTCTTTGATTATCTATTTTATTAATACTTCGCGAATTTTTTCGGTCGTCTGATTTGTTCCGTGGGAGCGTCTTATTTTTCGGTCGCCCATTTAACTCCCAACATTCTTCGCGATTATGTCCACGCTTCTTGCAATGGGTACATAATTTTTCGACGGCGGTTACGCGCGAGTATTTTTCGAGTTTTGGTAGGACGTTGATCTTGCTACGACAGACTCGTCCATAATGTCCGGTTTTTCCGCATTTATAACACTGTCCAGTCGTTTGCTGTCCTTGTTGCGCTGATTCAGGTTTATATAGCAAGGCATTAGTTGTTCGTGCTAGGTCTGATAAATCTCTCTTCCGCGCTCGCGCCGGCTTCTTGAAGCGTCGTATATCGTTGTGAGCGTACGAGTACTTTTAAGTCGCTTCGTAGCCCTAATTGAAAATTCAATAACGTTATTTTTGGATCGTTTGTAGAATAGTGCGTTTCTCTGAGCTCACATGGTTCTCTCCCTGTATCATTGAATCGTATAAATTCATCGCGAGCTGGTCGACGCGTTGCCCGAAACTTTGTGCTGTCTCATTATATTTTTGCTTTAGTGAATTGAATTCTAGTTGTAAGTGGGCAGTACTTTGCTTGCTTTGGTATGCGATCTCTAGTTGTTGCTTTAATTCTTCAAATGTTTGTATGTCTCGCGTTTCGAAATCTTGCATGGCTTTACCCTTTAATTTAGTAAATAGTATGCCTTGTATCAGAGACTCTTCGTCTCCGGGGTGTATGTTTTGCATGGTATATGTGCATGCGTTCAGAAATTCTTGAAGGCGGTGTCGCGATGTACCATCGAATTCGGGTATCATCATTCGCGCTTCTTTTAGAGACATATATTGTCGTGCAGTACTCCGTCGATTTCGTACGTCGCGCTCAGTCCGTCCGTAAATCATACGAGGCTCGTTATCGGACTCCCGTCGTTCGTCTCTGTGTGTGTATGCCTGTGCGGCTTCTATCCTATCTATACGTGTGTTTACTGTATGTAGCTTCGCATGTATAGCTTGCATTATTTTAAGCATTTGGGAAGTTTCCCTGGACGCTATGACGGAGGATTGTAACGCGGCGTCTAAATTTTCCCCCTTTGAACAAGGGTTTGTCGGAGCATGCTTATTTCGGCATCTATCGCGGCAGACGGAATAATCGCGTCCGCGTTTGTATTTTCTGCCATATTTACGTGGCTATAAATTTCTTCGGGGTCAAATATTTCGCTGTCGTATAACGTTAATGAAAATTCTCTCCGCAAAGATACTCTACTCGGAGTTCGGCTGATATACGGTCGCAATCGACACGGTTCGTCTTGAGTTACTTGAACGGAGTCGCTCGGATTATTTGGAAATATACTCGCGTCAAAACTAGTAAACGGAAATTCTCGTTTGTTTATTATGTTCGGAGGTAACTCGGTATTATTTTTGTTTGACAAGTCGCTGTCTAAATTTTTACGAACGCTTTCGAGATTTTGCACAGTTAAAGGCAATACTCGCGTTGTTAACCGTACCGGTGTACTATGCAATCACGATTGGTTTTTAATCGCTTGTCGGGGTGTTTCGTCACCTTCCGACATTCACGCAAACAAATAAATTCGGACTTACAGTATTACAGCTCGCATTGTTACGCTTTACACAGGTCGGCTACGGCTGCTGCAACTCGATCACTCGTGGGCTGATAAGGTTGCTCCGTATTGGTGCGCTGTCCGTGAGGTTGTCATAGGTCGGCGTTGTCCTTGGACGTCGGCGATTCCTTTCGGGCCGCAGCTGCTTATCGTTCGTAGTACTGCTCGTGTTGTCCGTTCTTTCTTTCTCTCGTTCTTGTCGTAGCTTCTGCTTGTTTCCGTCAGTGTTACTAACGTGCCCGTCTAACACTTTTTATAATGTGTTTTTATAGGTCTTCGCCGCTTTGGATGATGGGGACGACGTCGGTTTTGCGGCTGATATAATCCCACCGCTGCCACCAATTGTTGTGTCTCACCAGAGTTGGTGAGACACAAGGAATTTTTCGGGTCACAGCCGGCTTACTAATTTATTACTAATTTGATATTTAATATAATACAGTTATAGTCATTCGGATTATAACAATTCATCCACTTATTTCAAAAAGATAAGATACAAAATAAAACTACTTTTATCTTTTGAAAATAAGTGGATGCCCAGTAAACACGCAGGGATCATTTACGTAATAATTACATAATGTTTTATATGTATATATTAGATCATCATAACGAAACTGTGACGTATCGTTTATGTCAATAACGTAATGAATCTATAATTGTTACATAGAATTGTTATATAATTTTAACGTTACTTTGTTATGTAACATTTATGAAATTTGAATGTAAATGTGTATTCTCTAAAAGTTTCGTAAATGCTACGTAATTTTAATGACATAATTGTAACGTTATGTTAAATACGTAACATTTGTTTCTTTGTGAATGTAAATGTGCATACTCTATAATTTTCGTAAATGTTACGTAATTTTAATGATATAATTGTAACGTTATATTAAATACGTAACATTTATGTATTTTGGTGAATGTAAATGTATATGCTCTAAAAATTTTATAAATGCTATACAACTGTAAGGACATAATTGTAACATTAGTTTAAATATGTAACATTGACATTTTTTTATTGACATTAATGTATACATTCAGTAAAAACTTTATAACCGTTACATAACGAAATTGCGATATCACATTAAATATAAAAATGTATGTAACTTTGTTGACATCTTTGAGCGTCCTGAAAAAAGGGTGTTGCGTTATGTTTCAACGACATAAATGATCGCCTGATAATCACGCTCCTTGTACGTGACGCCGAGCCGACGGATGGCGATCGCGTGATACTACCACTGAACCAATAACGAAGTCGATTGATCGTGCTGGCAATCGACCATTGGTAGTTAAGAATGCGTACGGGGGTTCCGGTCTCTCGTCCCCGGGACGAGCCTCACTATTGTGTCGTTTTTCGGACGGGGCTCGTCGTCAAAAAACAATCAAGTACCTCGTAGACTAAGGCAGTACGGTGCGCGTGATAAAACGTGGAGAATAGCGATACTCCGCCACTGATTGTATAGCCGCGATTAGTGAGTTTTCGTGTACGCTGTTCAGCGCCTTTATTGCATTGGTTGCAAAGAGCCTTCGCACCGAAACCGTGCCCGAACGTGGCCTGTGAGCCCATATTGTGTATCCTCGGTTGTGAATAAAGACTGTCTCATCACCTCAGTAACATTATTTTACCCAAGGTTCAGCGCGCCGTCTCCCATTCGGGAGAGAATTCCCGCAATTCCACACATAAAATTTGGTCCTTCGAGCCGGATCGGCGCGCGACAGTGACAATCATTTGGCGGATCCATCGGCATACGACCGCGTCAATTATATCGTTGATCATTACTACCGAGGTGATCATTCCGCGGAACACGTACGAGCGGAACATTGTGGGCAAGTCCAAGCAATCGTACTTGCATATCATTAGTGTCAGGTCAACCTTGTGCTGTAAGGATGGAAGGGCTATTGGCCGAACAAAAGGTGACGCTCAAATCAATCACTCGCTCATTGGAGAATTTTAAAAAAATCGGAAAAGACAATCTCACGTACGGAATCGTGCGATCCCGCCTGCAAAAATTGAAGGATGATTATGCTCGATACGAGCATACACATGCCAAGGTACTCGCTCTCGCAACCGAGGACTTCGTCGCCACCCACAAATATTTCACCGAGGACCGATTCTCCGCTTGTGAAGCAGCATATTATACCGCCTCTGATTACATGGCCGAATGGGAAGCGCAGCTGGAACCCCAAGCGACATCCACTCCCGAGCCGTCATCCATCGTAAGCCATCGTCAAAACGTCTTCACATCCCGGTCAGCGTTTCAACTTCCGCGTATAAGCTTGCCGAAATTTTCCGGCGAATTTAGCGATTGGGAATCGTTTCGCGATCAATTCAAAGCGTTGATAATCGAGAACAGTGATCTCGTAGATGTAAATCGCCTGCAATATTTACATTCCTGCGTGAAGAGCGACGCGTTCGATATCGTGCGAAATCTCGCGTTAGTCGATTCGAATTTCAAGGTCGCCTGGGACTTATTAATAGCACGCTACGATAACAAAAGACGCTTGGTGCACGAGCATATTCACGAGTTGACATCACTCACGCCGATTAATTCCGAATCCGCGTCCGCGCTTTCCGCGTTAAGAGATAAAGCGAACGTGGCAATTAAAGCGTTAAAACATCTCGGGCGGGCGGTGGACCAATGGGACGATATTCTTGTATATTTGATCGTGCAAAAATTCGATAAGGCCACTCGAAAAGCGTGGGAATTACAGCTCGGAGATACAACCGAGTATCCCACGTTTGATAGTCTCGAACAGTTTTTAACCTCGCGTATACGCGCTTTTGAGAATATTCTGCCGTTCAATAAGGGCAAGACTTCGAATCAGCTGTCGGTGCAAAGCCATGTAACAAATACAAGTGCAATGAAATGTCCCGTTTGTCAGAAACCGCATCTATTATTTGCGTGTCCGGAATTTCGAAATAAACCCGCAAGCGAACGTCGAGAAATAGCTCAAAGGGTTCGGTGCTGTTACAATTGTCTGAGTACCAAGCATAATCGGAAAAATTGCCAAAGCAAACATACGTGTCAACAGTGTCAACAGAAGCATCATACTCTTCTCCACGAAGGCGACACGAGTAAAGTTAATGAAGCACGCTCTCCGACTGCGAGCACCTCGACGGCGGATGAACCCGTCTCGATTAATACGCACGTTGTTTCACGCGTTAACTTTTCAAAAACTGGCATTCTACTCGCGACAGCTTGGGTCGCGGTTCATAGCGCTACCGGCACCCGGGACGTCGTACGCGCATTATTGGATCAGGGCTCGGTCACAACTCTCATTTCAGAACGATTAGCTCAACGCTTGCGACTTAAGCGATCTCGTGTTTCAGTCTCGATAACAGGCATCGGATGCGCGGCGTCCGTTGCCAAACAAGCAGCACGGATTGACATCTCCCCCGCGACATGTCAGGTCCTGTGTTGTCCGTGACTGCTTTGATATTAAAGACATTAACAAATTATATTCCACAGCGCGTGGAATTCTCGCCGAGTTGGAATATCTGCGCTCTCTCAATCTAGCCGACAGCGATCCAACAAGCTCGGAGCCCATCGATATCATTATTGGAGCTGACCTTTACGGATCAGTTCTGAGATCAGGCATTCGATCGCGATCTTCACAAGAACCCGTAGCGCAAAACTCCATTTTCGGGTGGATTCTCTCCGGACCTATGTTCACGGAACTAGAGTCCGCCTCCCATCAGTTATCGACGCATCACTGCACAGTGCATGCGGACCTCGATATGCAGTTGAAGCGCTTTTGGGAGATTGAAGAACTCCCTCGTTCGCGTCACATCTCCGGAGGAAAAGCGGTGCGAAGAACATTTCGCGTCGACTCATTCTCGCTGTCCGACCGGGAGATACATAGTCAGGCTCCCATTCAAAACGCCTCCTCCATTGAGCCTCGGCGATTCAAGGTCGGCGGCTCTAGCCTTGTATACTCGAGCCGAAGCTCGTTTGAAAGCGCGGCCTGAACAAGCAACCGAATACCACGCGTTTTTACAAGAGTATAAACAATTAGGACACATGATGAAAGTGTCATCGCCGCGCCACAATTCTAATCAAATAATTTACATTCCTCATCATGCAGTCATACGTGAACACAGTGCCACGACCCATCTGCGTGTCGTGTTCAATGCCTCCTCGCCTACGTCAAATGGTTTGTCGCTTAACGATCATCTCATGATCGGTCCGAAGTTACAAACCGATTTGCCATCGATCCTCACGCGCTGGCGACAGTTTCGCTATGTCTATACTGCAGATATTGCAAAAATGTATAGGCAAATTTTAGTTGATCAACGCGACACCGACTATCAACGGATTCTTTGGCGATCCGATGTCGACGCTCCGATAGAAGACTATCAATTGCAAACCGTGACTTACGGTACAGCAAGCGCACCTTACTTGGCCATCCGAGTTTTAAACCAACTCGCTCTCGATGACGGCCATGACTTTCCCGCCGCAGTACCAGTCCTTCAACAGCATACTTATGTTGATGATTGTGTTTTCGGCGCAGACGATATACCGCTCGCTCGTAAGACAAAGGATCAGCTTGTATCCTTACTCAATAGAGCAGGCTTTCAACTTCGCAAGTGGGCAAGCAACAATCAGTCGTTGCTTGCTGATATCGATCCTCATGATCATGGTCTGGCGCAAGCCAAGACCCTGCAAACGGACGATTCTCTAAAGGTCTTGGGTCTCAAATGGAACCCATACGTTGACGCGTTTCAGTTTGAAATATCGCTGTCGACCGAGGTTCCTGCAACAAAACGCGCCGTTTTAGCGACCATCGCTACCATCTTTGATCCACTTGGGTGGTTAACACCCGTCGTAATAACAGCGAAGATCTTTATGCAAAAACTGTGGACGGCGCGATGTGAGTGGGACGCCGTACTTCCCCATGAATTGTTCGCTGCTTGGCGTAGCTACTACGCGCACCTATCGACTCTGCGCGAGATTTTAATTCCGCGATGGAACGGGTATGGGTCCGACACGGTTTCAGCGGAAATTCATGGATTCGCAGACGCGTCTACTGCCGCGTATGGAGCCGTCGTTTATTTAAAACTGACCAAACGTAACGGATCAGTCAAAATCACGTTGATGAGCGCGAAATCTAAAGTCGCCCCGCTTAAACCCCTCACGGTTCCGCGGTTGGAATTATCCGCGACGGTGTTATTAGCTCGCCTCATTGCATTCGTGCGAACTCTGATCCATATCCCTTCAATGATTTGTCACTGTTGGACAGATTCCACGGTAGTACTAGCATGGCTCAAGCAATCTCCCGCTCGATGGAAAATTTTCGTGGCCAATAGGGTCCACGAGGTTCAAAGTCAAGTTCCAGACGCGATATGGCACCACGTTCCATCACCGCAAAACCCTGCCGATCTCGCTTCACGAGGCGTCCAGCCGGCCGACCTAAAGGAGCATTTATTATGGTGGCAAGGCCCCGCGTGGCTTCAGTTACCCTCGACTCAATGGCCGGAGGGAAGTGAATCTGTCACAACAGAGTCGCTTACGGAGGCTCGCGCTCATGTACATATCGCTCAAACCCCCAACGAATGGGAATTAATGACGCGGTTTTCGTCATGGACAAAATTATTGCGAGTGACCGCATATATACGGCGATTCACGCAACGTCTTCGATATCGCCGGTCACAGCCATTGGCGAGCCCTAACGCTCCGGTGAACATCACCAAACTATCGCTGTCGCTAGCACCGGATGAGATTGATTCCGCGCGAAAATTTTGGTTGAAGTCCATTCAACAACAACTGTTCTCGACAGAGCTGTTACGTTTAAAGGATGGTAAGTCCGTGCAAAAGGGCAGCAAACTAGCCTCCTTAAATCCGTTCCTCGACAACGACGATTTAATTCGAGTCGGAGGCCGACTCCGTCATTCCGAACTCGCCGAAAAAACGAAACATCCAATTGTACTCGCATCGCATTCATTAGTCTCATCTCTTATACGTCACATTCATCTACATGCTCTGCACGCCGGATCGCGCTTGACGTTGTCAATTCTTCGCGAAGACTTCTGGTTAATCCGCGCTCGCCAAACCATACGGTCAGTTCTTTACCATTGCATCGCCTGCACTCGTGAAAACGCAAAAATCATTCCTGAGTTGATGGGCGATCTTCCGGATTATCGAGTTCGCCCTGTTGCTCGCGGGTTTTCTCACTGCGGAATCGATTATGCCGGACCAATTAAAGTGCGAACGACACCGGGACGGGGACACAAGTCGCAAAAGGCATATATCGCCATATTTATCTGCATGACTGTTAAAGCGACTCATCTGGAACTAGTAGGTGATTTGTCAACGCCGTCTTTCTTGGCTGCTTTCGATCGGTTCTGTGCTCGTCGAGGTGTTCCAACCGCGATGTATTCGGACAACGCAACTAATTTTCAGGGAGCTCAACGCGAACTAGCTACTGCTTGGCATACGGCTACTCACGATTCGAATATTTTAAACAACCTCGCGGAGAAAGGCATCAGTTGGAGATTCATTCCTCCGTCCTCTCCACATTTCGGTGGATTATGGGAGGCCTGCGTTCGGAGCGTTAAGTTTCATCTAAAGCGCGTCATCGGTGCTCACACGCTCACAATCGAAGAGATGAGCACCTTATTATGTAAAGTCGAAGCGTGTCTAAATTCGCGGCCTCTCGGGCAGATGTCGGATAATTACGATGATTATCACGCTCTTACTCCGAGCCACTTTCTCATTGGATCCTCGATGCTAACGATACCAGAAACGTCTCTACTCGACGAAAAGGAAACGCGTCTTACCCGATGGCAGCTCATTCGTCAAATGCGCGATAGTTTATGGAAGCAATGGTCACAGGACTATCTGCACACGTTGCAACAACGGCCTAAGTGGCGTGAAAGGCAGAGTTTAGCCCGGGTAGGGCGCTTAGTACTATTGCGAAATCCGCTAGCGCCTCCCTGCGCTTGGGAACTTGGGAGGATCGTGGAATGCCATCCGGGAGACGATGGCTTAGTCCGGGTCGTTACTGTCAAGACAGCCCGCTCAAAGTACAAGCGAGCCGTCACAAAATTATGTTTTCTACCGATTGACGTGAATCTAACCCATGACGCTGCGGATGACATTCCACGAGCCATCTCTGCTGATACGTCTAAAAATTAAATTCCATTGTAAACTCTATACAAAGATGTGGTATACATGAAAATAAATGTAGTGAAGTCGCGCTCATGTACTAATCAACATCGTCACGGCGGGCGGCGCGATTATGATTTCATCGTTCGGAAAGATCCGAGGCGGGCGGTATGTTGCGTTATGTTTCAACGACATAAATGATCGCCTGATAATCACGCTCCTTGTACGTGACGCCGAGCCGACGGATGGCGATCGCGTGATCCTACCACTGAACCAATAACGAAGTCGATTGATCGTGCTGGCAATCGACCATTGGTAGTTAAGAATGCGTACGGGGGTTCCGGTCTCTCGTCCCCGGGACGAGCCTCACTATTGTGTCGTTTTCGGACGGGGCTCGTCGTCAAAAAACAATCAAGTACCTCGTAGACTAAGGCAGTACGGTGCGCGTGATAAAACGCGGAGAATAGCGATACTCCGCCACTGATTGTATAGCCGCGATTAGTGAGTTTTCGTGTACGCTGTTCAGCGCCTTTATTGCATGGTTGCAAAGAGCCTTCGCACCGAAACCGTGCCGAACGTGGCCTGTGAGCCCATATTGTGTATCCTCGGTTGTGAATAAAGACTGTCTCATCACCTCAGTAACATTTATTTTACCCAAGGTTCAGCGCGCCGTCTCCCATTCGGGAGAGAATTCCCGCAATTCCACACAAAGGGCATGCATAATCAATGACAAAACGTATCTGG